ACCCTTCCACAAAAAAAAAAAAAAAAAAAAAAAAAAAAAAAAAAAAAAAAACAAAGAGTGAGGTAGAGCAGCAGCTCTCCTTTGGATCTTGAATTTTTCCCAAAGGTCTGTGTGTTAAAGGTGTAGACCCCAGCGTGGCAGCACTGTGAGGTAGTGGAACTTGTATGGTAGGAAGCTGGGTGTAGTGAGAGGTCTTTAGGTCACATGACCGCTTGCCCTCCAAGAGAATCTTAGATCCCCTTGTGAATCCTGGCCATAAGATAAGCAGTTAGCTCTGGAACACACTCCCCACTACTGCTATATGGCACATGCACCAGACGACTAAGACAGTAACTCCTAGACTGCAATCTCCAAAACTGGGCTACTAACCTTTTCTCTTCATAATTATCTCAGTTATTTTGTTACAGTGATGCAAAGTTGATTAACATGGTAGTCATCCCACTTCTGTTTGGGAGTGGCTTTCTGCATGCAACTATTTTAGCAAATACTTTTCTTTTGTTACTGGGGATCAAACTCTGATCCTTGCACTTGTGTGGCAGGAGGCAGAACCACCACTGAGCTAAATCCCCAGCCCAGCAAATAATTTTTAAAAGGCTCAAAATCTTTGAATGTGTGGATTTCCACAACAATTAAAAAATAGTTGGGTGTGATGGGGAGGCTCTTGGAGGCTAAGGAAGGACAACTGCAAATCAAGCCTGGCCTGAACAACTTAATGAGAACCTGTCTCAGAATTAACAAAAAAAGGAAGCTGAGGATGTACCTCAGTGCAAAGACAATGGAATCAATTCTCACCTCACAAAAAAAAAAAAAATCCAATAGAAAAAAGAGAACATAAATCACAGACAAGAAATATAAATGGCTATATAACTATAAAGATATTCAATTTCATTTACAGTAGAAAAACACAAAATTAGAGATGTAAATTCTCCACTTGTCACGACTATAAAAGGTCAAAAAACTTAATACATGGTATAAGAGAATATAAAATAAAATTAGCTCTATAACTATAAACTGCTTTCTGATGGGGATATAAATTGAGTACAATCTAATCACAGGATAATCTGACACTAAGGACAAAAATTTTAATGCATATGCTCTGACTTAGCAATTTGTAGACATTTATCCTATGGACATACTATGAAACATATAAACAGGGATATATAATTTCCACTCTGTGCTTCCATACCTTTGGATATATGGATAAAGCACCTGTGCACACACACAGGCATGCTTATATCTATACAGTCTTTCTGAAAAAAGCAAATAAACAGAATCTTCCCCAAGACCCCAAACTGGTAACAGTAGCTGTTTCTGGAGAGAAAGCTGGACATACAAGACTAGAACAAAGAAGGATATTTATTTCTCCTTCCATATATTTATGTGTCCTAGCATATATTCACTACATATACAAATATACACACATAGTAGTTATATAAAAATATTTGCATGAGAAAAACTTTTAAAATCTAAAAGATAGGGGATTTAGCTCAGTGGCACCACACCTGCCTTGCAAGCACAAGGTCCTGAGTTCAATCCCCGTAGCAAAAAAAGAAAAAGCTAAAATGAAGCTCTTGTGAAATTTCACTTATTTGATTGGCCTCAATTAAAAATATTCAAGACTAAAATGAAGCAGATACATGAAATATACCCAACTTTAGCAAGGGCTTCTATCATCTTCACTCTACATTATAGGATCCTTCACAGCACTCACCCCAGCCCTCTCCCTTTTTCTCTCCTTACTCACCTTGGCATTGGCAGTATCAAAAATAGTTTCAACAAGTAAGATATCAACACCTCCATCCAGAAGTCCTTTGGCCTGCTCTTGGTATGCTTCAACGAGCTCATCAAACGCTACAAAAAATAAATCACACGTACCACATCAGTCATCCATACCCTCTGGATATGCTGGGTTCAGGTCTGGCACCTATGAACCATTGTTCATTAAATGAATAAATATGGCAGTAATGGGAGGTAAACAAATTGAAAACAATTGCTCCTAAACACAGGATCTGCCCTTCCCATGTATGAGCTAGGAATGATAAGGTATATAAACTTCTTGACTCATGTGCTTTACTCTTAACATCTTTAAAAAAATATCATCCTTCCCACAAATCATTTTAATAAGCCATTTAAAGGTGAGTATAAGAAACATGACTTGAATACAGTGCAGATTGCCTCCAAGTCTCAATCTTTCTGGTTAAAGGCTCATACGGACTTTACTCCTGCTCTTATACTAATTCTGACAGAAAGGAGACCTCTCAAACAAAAGTGTTCCATCATTCCTAAGAAAAGTTTTTGTTAAAACTATCTCATGTTGCTGGGTATGGTGGTGCATACCCATAATCCCAGCACTCGGGAAGCCGAGGCAGGAGGATTGCCATGAGTGCAAGACCAGCCTGGACTACACAGTGAGTTCAAGGCCAGCCTGAACTACGTAATGAGACGCTGTCTCAAAAAAAAAAATCTTGTTTTTATTTCCACCTGAGAATTCATCCGTTTCCCCATTTTATCTCCCAATAAAAAAAAGAAAAAGTATTCAGGTATTCAAAAAAAAAACATAAACAGTAAATTTATGCATACTGTGTAAGCATACGTGATTTTTCTCCCCCGTATTGGGAATCGAACTCAGGACCTTGCACTTGTGAGTCAGGTGCGGTGCCACTGAGCCAAATCCCCAGCCCTACCTGATTTTATATGATACAGAAACAAGGAGGTTAGCTCTCCCACTGTCATGTCTCTACCAAAGAGAGCAAGGACCATGCAGAACCTAGTAAGAACAACTTTTAATGAAAAATGTGGTATCACAGCATGGAAAGTTTTGCACCAAAAACCTACAAACTGTTCTTACCTGAAATTGTCATCTACACAAAATCCATTACCATTCATGGTATCGTAACTATTCAGATCTGAAATTTTAATTCTTTTTAATGTCCTGATGCTTAGAAATTAACCTAGATTCCTAGATTTTGTCAGATCTCAATAAGCACATATGCATTTGCTAGTTTATAGCACTAGTATGTTTAGACAATTTGGACTGCCTTCTGAGAAATTACATGGGAATATAGTAGGCTGCTGTATAATAGACCAAGAGCTGGTAACCAAATTCGCTCTTCTCACTTTAAAATTTTATTTCAATTGCTTTTATTTCCAGCATTGATAAAGATGCACTAACATGTCACTATGTATATCTCTCTATAAGCAAGCTCAAGTAATAAGAGTTACAACTTCTTATTTAGATGTCTACTATATTCCAGGCACTGCTATCAACCCTGACATAAAGATACAATATCCCTGAGGTAAATCCTGTTATTAGTTCTATTTTAGAGATTTACAGACTCCTGAAGCACAATGACAAAACCCAAATTATATGTGATAAATACTCACTGATATTCCTATAATCTGGTCTTTCCACAGATGGGGACACAGAGAGTGTCTTATTAGTTGGACCCAGAGCTCCTGCCACAAACCTCTTGATTCCTTTGGGAAAAGAAAAACAAATGTGAAATTTCTAAATAGCTCAGTCTCTTTGTTGTGAATCAACAAGCTATCAGACTTTTCCTAGAACATAACTTTAGAATCCTTTGTTGCAGTTTTTAGCTAGATGTCCCTCCAAAGCCTCCTGTACTCATTAAGATTATAGGGGTGTGATACTCATCAGGGGCTGATCATTTTACAGCTAAATGTGATGTTAGAAGGTGAAACATGGTAAGAGGAGGTGAATCACTGGAGGTGTGATGAGAAAGGTGCATCTCTCTGCCTCCTCCCTTAATTTCTCCCACCTTCTACTGCCACCATCCCACAATCTGTATCTCCTCTACAATGCTACCCTGCCTTGGAGCCAGCAGACTACGGACTGAAACCTATATAACCTTGAGCCAAAATAAACCTTTCCCTACAATTTTGAGTATCAGGTATTGTGTCTCAGCAACAAGAAAAAACAAAGAAATCCTTTGTCCACAACTCAGAAATTCAAAGGCTCTAAAAGTCCCAAATTTTTTCTGAATTCACTGGACAACAAAACTTGACTTCTACTGAACTAATAAAAGGCTATTTATAATCTTTCGGCCACTTAATGGGATGGTTCACAGATTCTGCTAACATATTTTAGTTATTGGGGGTGTCCCCAAGTGCCCTGAGGAAATCATGTAAAATAAGGAATACACAAATATTATCACCAAAAATCCCCAAAACACTAAGTTCTCCAGACATCTGACCTCAAAGTATTTTTCTAAGTAATCCTTTCCTATTGCTACAGTTTAGTTTGGACAAATTCTCTTTCTTCCAGTACTCTGGAAATCTGGAAGGCCCTTGAACATAGCAATGTGCTAGCAGAAGCATTCAACCTGATATACTCTCCAGTACAGCACGGCAGGCCTTTTGCAGAATTAACAACTATAAGGTCTGAAATTCAAGTAGGAAGCAGATGGAATGTTACTACTTTAATAACCTTCCCTCTGGGCCATAATCAAAGTGCTTATAAAATGGCTTCTATTTGTGTTCATTTGTGTATCATCACAGAAGGCAGGATTGTACTACGTATTACTTTTGGTGATTTTAATTACTCAACGACCTGGGATATAATAGCTAAAGTTTGGAAACAGCCCAGCTGCCCATCAACTAGAGATTGGATAAAGAAGATGTGGTGTTTTATAAAATGGAGTACTATCGCTTCTCGGCTTTTTGGCTAAGATCAAGTATAAAATGGAGTACTACTCAGCCATAAAGAACAAGAAATTAGATATATATATATTTATCTAAATCGATGCACATTGAGGCCAGACTCTTAAGTGAAATTACTAAATCATACATGTAAATACCATATAGTTTCTCTGGTATGAAAAACAAAGTGTAAATAAGGATCAAAATGTGTAGCTGATACTGTGTAATAGGAAGAAAAGATCTATAAGAGTAGAGGAAGTGGGAGGGGTAGGAGAAAGGGAAAAAGGGAAAAGGAAAAACATGGAAACATATCTTTATAAACAGGGAAGGGTGGAGAGGGTGAAGGGAGGGCTGGGAAATGGAGAAAAATAAGAACCAAGATAAACCTTGTAAAGGTACAAGATCCCAATGACGAATGTAACTGTATTATATACCTCAAATGTACCAATAAACTTAATAAAGATTAAAAATTAATAATAACCTGGGATATGCCTTATACTTGACTGAAGAAGGTCACTAGTTGATAACCCTATAAGCAGGTTATAGGCCCAAATATTCTTTATCTTCCCTGAAACTGAGTGATAATTTAGATACCAAAAAAAAAAAAAACCTTATCTCTCAGTGCTTACATCAGTTCAATATCCTCTGCCCTGCCTTTCTATTGGAGAAAGTCTACGTATTTCCATGGATTTAAACATTATCATTCAGAACAGAATTCCTATAAATTGCTTTGGTCTCCATTAGTATGCTGTGGTTAGCGTAACAATTTTGTTTTACATCTTTCCTCCTGGCAATAACTTCAATTTCCAAATTTTAAGGAGTTCCATATATTTCTTCACCTTTCCTCACTCAAAGCCTCCCACCAGCTAGGACCCAAGAATTCTGATGGCAACCAATAAGGAAGTTAGCCATGTCAAGAGTCACTTTCCAAGTGCCAGCAAGACTGACTGTAATGCCACACTCTTCCATGTGCCACACAGCTGTCAAGGTCATCAGTATTGTAAAGGACAAAATGGTCCAAAGGCAATCTCTCTACCTAAATTAAAAAAATCATGGAGAAGGGCAGCTTTAGAAAATTGAGACCAAATATCCCAACAATAGGAAATAATAAATCAGCCAGCTGTTTATAACCTGATGATGTGCTTCCAAGGGAGAGAAATCATTTCAGTTCTACATACACAGGAAAATCACGGACCTAGCTAAAAAGTCAGGCTAACAACACCATCAGAGTAAAGCCCAAAGTCCACATGGATAACATCACTTCAGATTGATACTGAATATTTCATTACTTTAAAAAAGTAGAGAGGGCTGGGGATTTAGCTGAGTGGTGCTGCCACCTGCTGCACAAGTGCAAGGTCCTGCGTTTGAACCCTAGTACAAAAAGAAAGCAGAGAAATTACCTACAAATAGGTTAAAATACCCTATGTGTAGTTGTTCATAGGCTAAAGGTCACATAAGCAAAAACTGCAACAAAAATAGTACATTGGGCCGGGGATTTAGCTCAGTGGTTCCACCACCCTGCTTGCAAGCACAGGGTCCCAATCCCTGGTATCAAAAAAAAAAGTACATAATAGCTGAGAATATCAGAGAAACCACACATACAAGAAAGAAAGGAAAACATCTGTTACCTGTCTGAAGCGTTATCTCCTCAGCAGCTTTTCTTGCCACAGCTGCAGAGCACTTGTTCATCCTGTAGGCCTAACGCATCAACCACCGGCATTAGTTTGTCCTGCTTTTCTTCTATGCAATAAGGAATCTACAACCATCTAATGCTCAATTATATTCAGTAAGGAAATGCTAAATGAACTAATCTGAGGCTAAGTGAAATCGCAGCCAAGTTCTATCAGTGGCCCCATCCTTAAAAGGCAGCAGTCCTTAGCAAGAGGAATGGCAAGAGTCCTTAGCAATCGTTTTCATTTATGATCTTCTCTTAAACCCTAAACCAACTGGTAAAAAGGACAACCTCTGGACATTCTGGCATGTCACAAAATAAGCTGGAACAATTAAATAAAATATAAATTAAGCAACAGTACGGTAATGGGGAAAACATAGGCTGTAAAGGCAAAAGACCTGCACTACTCTGTCACTGCCTGACCAGGCAGCTCCCACAACTTCCCCTGGCCTCGATTTCCTTCACTGTACAATGGCTGGTATCACTCTGAACTTTTCATAGATTATTAATTTCATAAGAATTTGATAAAGAACCATGAATCTTCTTACTAGGAAATATAATGTGCACATACACAAAGTGTGGCCTGCAGATTAAGGATGCTAGTGGCTTTTCAGAAATCCTCCACATACCTGATAAGTGGTCCTTGATTTGTAATTTTCACACTCCCCTCCTCTATGGTCCTATGTCCCATGGATTTCCACTTTAGATAACTAAGTACCTAGAATGTCCTAAATAAGAACTGACAAGCTATTGTTGATTGATCAAACCTATTTCCTTCATATTTTTATAAATAAAGTTTTACTGGAACACAGTCATGACCTTCTATTCACATACTATCTACATGTGCACACAACCAATGATTATACCTTTATCAAAAGCCACTGCACAATATGTACCACTTTTATTTGATCAGTACTTGCCCACAAAAAAAGCAACGTGTAAAATGAATAGGCTACTGTGCTTAAAACCAGAGGAGATTCAAATCATTATCCCCATCTTACAACAAACATCAGCCAACTAGGCATTAGCTTGACCACAGCTTCAGGTGACTTTCCTACTAGCAACTATTAATGCAGCAAATGTTCATAAGCATCTTAGATACAAGGCAACATGGAATTCTTACCAAGTGTTCAAGGCCATAGTCAGCTTGGGCAATACTGGTGCTGCTAAAAGTATTTGTTTCAATGATATCTGCCCCAGCCAGCAAGTAGTCCTGCAACAAGATATAATATCAATTCTGTGAGTTTAGAGTCCCCGTCCTCCAGCAATAAACATGTCCTTTCATCACTACCACCAACCACTTTGGACCACTCAGCAAGGGTAAAACAGTGCACTAGAGCCAAGATGCAGGAAAGTGTAAGGATTTCAGAAAAAGCCAAAGTGGTTCGACAAACAAGCTTAAATTCAGTCAAGTCCCTTAAACTCTGAGTCTCAGTATCCCCGTCTGAAAGTATTAATAATCCTATTTTGAAAACAATGCGGCTCTTTGGTAAGCATCAGGTACATCTTTGGGCACTCAACAAATATCATTTCTGTTTCTTTACCTTTCTCCCTGCTACAATACAACCTGATCCACACAAAGAACTGCAATATCTCTGAGATCTCAAACTCTAACCAGTTTTTTTCAGTCCATATCTCTTAGTCTCTCATCCAGACTTGTGCCCTTATCAGAAAGAACCTTGAGGATTTTGATGCCCTACTGTTCTCCTGTTGGAAACCAATCTTCCTACTTTCACTCTTAGGACATTATCTCAACTTCAACCTGACTAGTACCCTATAATTTCCTAAGCCCTTTCACTTTCTAATAGTGAGTAAACTCAACCACCCTTACACCGATGATTTTTCTTTTCAAAATAGCTAGAAATGAAAACTAATAAAAATTTTATATTATACACTTATAACATTGTTGCAGGAGGAATCAGCAAGTGACACACACAGAGACGAGCTGAATGGAAGTAAAATAATAAGTTTGTCAGCAAAAGCCGAATCACACTTAAAAAGGCAGTGCCACTGATCGACCTCTACTGACAAATAATCTTTTTTAGTCACCTGCCAATTCCTTCTGCAACATTTGGTGTGTTGGCCGGGGGAAAAAAGAGTTAACTGACACAGCCCATGTTGGGCTTTGACCCAAGTATAAATATAATAAAAAGATCTAGAAAGGCACAAACTAAGAGTGGTTATCTCTTGGGGAAAAAATAGCAATTTGAAGTAGTAATCAAATGGAAATTTATTCTTATCTATGGATTTTGTTTTATAGGAATGAATTAAAATTTAATTTTTTAAAAAGAGAGTGTGAAGGGCCAGATATTTAGTTCAGTTGTACTGCTGCCTGTCTTGCAAGCTCAAGGTCTCAAGTTCAATCCCAGTACCAAAAAAAACCAAAAAAAAAAGCATGAAAACCACTTTAATGCCTACCAATAAGTAGATACGTAAATAATACACACATAGAACACACACACTGACGTTATAAAACTATTTAATGCTAGTGAAAAAAGTAAAAATGCAAATTATGTAACAATATAAACCCAATTTAATTTTTTGTTTTTCATCCTTAGATTTTTAAAGTATAAACTAGAATATGTGAATGATAGTTATGTCTTGGGACTTTATAATAGGCAAAAGTCCACTTTCTACTCCACAGACAGCCATCTTCTCACTGTGTTCCCCCATGGTGGAAGGAAGGGGTGAACAACTCCTTACGACTCTTACAAGGGTACCTCCTAACACCACCAAACCAAGTACTAGGATTTACCATATGAATCTGAGGGACACAAACATTCAGACCATAGCAGTGCCCTTAAAAAAAAGAGACACAAGACCTTGCTTCCTCTTTCTGTTCTCCATCACATGAGGACTGGAGATAAGGACTTCAAGATGGTAAACTGGAAGAGTGCCTAGAGCAGACAAGGTTTGCTGCCATCTTAGTCACAGACTGCTCACTCTCAAGAACTGCAAGAAATGGATGTTGTTTAAGTCACCTAGTCTATGGTAATGGTATAGCAGCCCAAACCAACTAAAACACCTTTTGTTATTTGTTCACAAGGGCTATTACTGTAATTTAAATAAAACAATAAATGTGAAATCCCTACAATTGTCCGGGGTTTTGTCAATTTTGCTGGAGTTTAATGCCTCAAATGAAGGAAAATTATGCTCATCTGCTTATCCCAAATGCCCAACACAATGCATGACTTTTATTTGGTGTCCAACACCTGCTTTCTGAAGAAATAATTTCTTTCTTCTTCTATGTGCAAATAAATACATAGCACAGTGGTCTGACATTAGCAAAGAAGCAGTTTGAATGAATGTATAAAAACTTGGGAATAACTTACCTTATGAATTTGGTAAATGATACCAGGTTGAGTTATACTTAAAATGTCATTGTTTCCTTTCAGTGGCCTGGCATGATCTTTAAATTCTTGACCTTGAAAGCTTTCTTCATTCAGCTTGTATCGCTGGATCATGGTTCCCATCCCGCCATCTAGTACCACAATCCTCTTCTGCAGAATGGCTTCTATCTCATCCTGAAGAGTATTCTCCATATCACCTTTAAATAAAAACTGTATTTTAGAGCTAGGAACACTCCGGTAATCTCAGGACTCAGGGTACTGAAGAGGGAGGATCACTGCAAGTTCAAGGCCACCCTGGGCTACACAATAAGTTCAAGGCCAGCCTGACCTACACAATGAGATCCTGTCTCAAAAAAAATAAGAAAAAAAAAAAAGAATTAAAGGTGAAAGAGATGTGTGGAGGGGGAATTTAAGAGTGATTTATAATAATTTACAATAAGGAGTAAGTAGAACTCAAAGAAGATGCACATATTACTCAATAACATTAGAAAAATGCTGCCTCACAACATCATTAAGTCTTAACAATAAACACAACTAACATTTTGTAAATAGCACAAAATCAGTAGTGAAGCACCCACCAATATAAAAGCAGGCTTAGCCAGTCCTATTTTAGAGAGGAGGAAAACAGGCAGCAGTGAGCCAAGCAACACAAGCCTAGGCCAGGCTGCTGGACAAAGTCCTCTGGTTCTTTCCTTATTAATTCTATGAGATGCTTCCTTAATAGGGAGATTTACCATGGATAATTGAAAACCATCAATGATTCCAAATTGACATTTAAAGTGTGAGCTTTTACTATTGCCTCCCCCAACTAATGACAAAATTAATAACAGCCTGCAAACAGGTTTTACTCACCTATCTCTGCTTCTGCTTTTATGAAATAACCTGCAAACACCCTCAAATTTCCCAACTCTCTCCTTGCTCCCTGATTTCCAATTTCTGGCCCTGAAAAGGCTCCACTTACTTTCTGGTTTCTAAGAACTGGAAAAATACAAACTATGCTGATCAGAGTCACTTCATAATGTTGAGTCTTTCTGGTTCATCCTTCCCTGACTCCCTGCTGTATTTCCGACATTTGCATTCCCAACCTCTGCTTTCTTTTAGCACCAAGTCCTTCCTATCCTCTTCACTTTACACATAATTTAGCCTAATTTGGTACAGATATCTTATTACCCCCTCTCCACTTCAAAAATCATCCTGCAGCTTGCTCCCTTTCCTCCTCTGCACATGGTCGCTTCCGCTCTGACATCTCCCACTGCTCTCCCATCTAGCCCTTCCAACCACTATAGCAGGTGTATGTCAGTATCCACAGATTACTTATTTTCTGGATGTAGCTTCCTCTTCCAGCAGTCTCCTAAAATTACTTTCTAAAGTCACCAATCACCTATTAATTACCAAAACTTCCTGGCCCCAGTCTTGGACCCAAATTCCACACTGTGCATGTGATAATGCCACCTAGCATACTCACTTGCTTTTCAATATAATATTAAAAACCAAATTTGCTATACAGCCTATATGATCTCATTTTGTGAATGGCAATGTTCTTCCCAGAACCTAACCTTGAAATCTCAGTATTATCTCCCTTTTTTCTCTCTGATCACCACCATCTACTCAAATCCCAAAGCCTATACATTTGGCCCACAAAAACGCCATTCACTTTAGTCCCATGTTCTGTCTCCACTGCCAACCCCTTTTTTCAAGCCCTAACTGCATATATCAGGCAGCACAAATCCTCAGAGCTTCAGTTTGTATCAATGCAATGGGATCATTACTGTATATGTGGAGTTGCTTTATAAATTATCAAGTATCCTACAAAGGTAAGAGATCTCTGCCATACCTGATCACTCTGTTCTAATTCATCATATGTATCATTAGATTGCAACTTCTGTTGGTTTTGGCAGTACCAGGAACAAACCCCAGGGCCTTCACAATGACCTACTTTCTCAGCCATGCATGTACGTGTATATCAAATTCACAATCCTCCTGCTTCAGCTTTCCAAAGTGCTGAGATTACATGACAATGTTGTTAAACCACTTGCTTCCCCTGCTCCATGGAGACCTTCAACAGTTCCCTACTGCTTACCAAAGTTAAAATAAGTTATTCTAACGAACCACAATGACACCAACCTGTCTTGTGTCCACTTTTCTATGTCAGATCATTTGAGAAAGCCAACATACATACATCTGTCTAGCATAGCATATAAGCCCCTTCCTTTTGTCTCTGAATCTAAGAATCTTGTGTTGCTGTTTGCTGAGACAGGTTTCTGTCCCTTCTATACAACAAGTTCTTAGTAAACTGCATTCTTTGTTAAAAAAAAAAAAAGCTCCAATCAAATGGAGCTGTTACTAAGCTATTTCTTGGAGAAGACTGTGTAGACCAACTTTTCTCTATCACTAGCAACACCAAGGACAGTATCTGACACCTACATGTTCATAAATATTTCTTTAATTGAACTGACAGAAATACGAGGTAAAACAAGAAAGAAAAGGCAAAAGTCACTTAAAACCCAAACCACTACAGTGAAAATATTTATCAGGTAGCACTGGGTCCACACTTCCAACACAGCCTTGCATTACAGTCCAGAGGCACATAGTATAGCAACAGGATTTAAGTGGTGGCCACAGAATTATTCTCTGTGACTTACTGTAAGCACACCTTGAGGGAGGTTCTCTGGTAACCTGTAAGGAAAATCCAAGTTCTGGTTTCTATTCCAAAATATATAATGTTTCTTTTAGAGTGTTCTATTCCTTCTCAAAGCCAGCTTACTGGCTGTGTTTACTGAGCCTGCAAGTGTGAGAAAATATTTCCCGAAAAATGAACAAAGTTAAGATCCAGCAACCAAGCCCAACATGGTGGCACACACCAGTAATCTCAGCACTCAGAAGCTGCTGTAAGATCGCAAGTTCAAACCTAGCCTGGGCAACTTAGAAAGACCCTGCCTCAAAACAAAAACTATAAAATGGGTTAGGGATATAGTTCAATGAAAAGGCTTTATGTTCAATTCACAGTACAGCAGAAAAAACAATCCAGTAGTATTTCAAATACCAAAGGAAATAATTTCTTGGGAAATATGGACAAATATGGACAAAAAGGAAGGGATGAATAAGGGATGTCTAATAGACTAGCAATAATCAGGCAATGAATGGTCAAGTCATTTCTAGCTATGGTCAAAGCAAATTCAGAAGTAGCAACAATTTGGACATTCCACAAAACAAATCCTATCAGCTAATAAACAATGAATTTTACACAATTAACTAAACGTGTCCGGGTGAGAAAAGCTAAGAAATCTGGGTTTTAGACTCAGATCCCTTAAGTAGCTCTGGGGTTTTGGATAGATTTCTCTGGTTTTAGCAAAAAAAAAAAAAAAAAAAAAAAAAAAAAAAAATTTTTAAAAAAAAAAAAAAAAAAAAAAAAAAACAAACACAAAAAACAAAAAACATCAAGCCAGACATGGTGGTACACGCCTGTAATTCCAGAACTTGAGAGGCTGAGGGAGCTTTGAGTTCAAGGCCAGCCTGAACTACATAGGGAGACCATGTCCCAAAATAAATAAAATAAATATTCTTGACTAGTAAACCCAAGAGGTCACACACTAGTTCCCCATTTGAATGGATCTAGCCAATATCCTTTTGGTGCATTAACATTTTATTTTTTAGCTAATAAAATTGTATTCCAAAGAATAAACAAATATAGGATTAACAGGTTACAACACCAAATGTTGAAGTACATGAGTCAGTACCACCTTTAAGAGCTATCCTAAGACGACGGGCCAGGGATTTAGCTCAGTGGTGCCACTTGCCTCGTAAGCACAAGGTCCCGAGTTCAGTCCCACGTACAAAAAAAACCAAACAAACAAACAAGACTGGCTCAAAAGAATGATGAAGGCATAACACAGTATGCTCCCAATATGTGAATGTAAGTAATAAATTGCAGTGTCAGGCACCTATTTCCTTAACCCCCTCCATGTAGGTTTCATTAACCTGGGATTTCCCTTTCCACTGCCAAATGGGGCAATGAAAAAAGTCTTCCCTGCACATAAGCATATGATCTCAATGCCTTCTCAGCAGTTTCCTGCCTTCATTATATTAAAGACTAAACTATTTTCTGCTCTCCCAATCCCTTACGTGATACTTTTTATTTTGGGATTTCTAATTTTAGTTTGCACTTACTATACTTTGTAGTCATCTCTTTGCTAGTGTATTATTCCATTTTTCAAAAATATTATTTCTACCTGTAATTTCAATAAGTCCTAAAAGGATTAGGTTGGTATTAATTCACCTGATCATCTCTTTCAACAAGTATTCATCACAAATGTACTGAGCATGGATAAGATCAAGAAATGGAAGCTATAGTTGACATGTTCTCAAAGGAAGTATTTCCTAGCCCACTAGCCACCTTCCCCAGGGAGCATAACCAAAGTTTGGGTAACAGACCTTAAGATCAAACCTTGAGATTCAGGAATTCCCAGTTCTTCATTAAATAGCTCCATTAAGCTCCCACAGCCCGGGGCGGGGGGGGGGGGGGGCGGTATGTAGCTCAGTGGCACCATGACTGCCTCACAAGTACAAGGTCCTGAGTTCCATCCCTGCTACCTGAAAAAAAGATTCCATAGCACACCACAGTGGTGGGACACACTTTGGTCCCAGCACTCAGGAAACTGAGGCAGGACAAAGACAGACCCTGTATCCAAAAAACAAAACGAAAAAAGATTCCACAGCCAGGTGTAGTGGTGCATACCTGTAATCCCAGCACTCAGGAGGCTGAGGCAGGAGGACTGCCTCAAGTTCCAGGCCATCCGGGACTACATGAGTTCAAGGCCCACCTGAACTACAATTCCAGGTACAGGTCTGTAATCCCAGGACTCTCGAAGGGTGAAGCAAGAGGATCCCAAGTTTGAGCCCAACCTGGGCAATTTAGCAACTTATGACACCCTGTCTCAAAAAAAACAGAAAACAGGCTGGCAACATAGCTCGATAAGAAGTCCCTCAATTCCCAATACCCTGGTTTAGGGGTTCCAGAGTCTCCTACTACAGTAGGTATGGGGGGAAAAGAGTATGAAAAGAAAAAAACATGCTCTGCAGAGTAAGTTTGGGCCAACTAAAACTAGGAAAAGAAGTACGCTGTACTGTGAAAGAACTGGGGATTTAGCTCTGTGGCACAGCACCTGCCTGGCAAGTGCAACGTCCTGAGTTTGATTCCAAAAAAAAAAAAAAAAAAAAAAAAAAAAAAAAAAATCGCTTTTCAGCCTCTTGGCTAAGATCAAGTGTAGTACTGTGAAAGAGCACAGTGGCCCCAGATCAAAGGCATCTGTCATCTGTACTTCCCAATCCTCAGGTTGAAGACAAGTCCAGACTATCCTATCAAAAACCTGCTCCAGTTCTAGCAAGAATTGAAGATAGCACTCTGATTGGTTTCACCTGCAGGAGTTTGGAAACTATGGTGTCTTGAAACTTTGTAATTAACAGGATTTGCCCACTTTACCAGGCAGTTTGCCCCTCCTTAATCCCCTGCCTCAATAATGCCCTCCCCCAATAAACCTAATGGGGCTGGCATATAGCTCAGTGGTAGAGCATGTGCCTAGCTGCACAAAATGAAATTAAAAGAAACATTATAGGACACACACACACACACACACAAAAAAAAAACTGTACACTAATAACTAACAATTTTTAGGAAGTTAAAAACCGTAAGTAGAGCTAAGGATTTAGCTCAATGGTACCATGCCTGCCTCACAAGCACAAGGTCCTGAGTTCAATCCCTGGTATCAGAAGGAAAAAAAAGGCAAAACAAGACATGTAAGTAGCAAGAACACGTGTAAGGTCTTTTCTAGGCCCACGGGTCTAACTCAGAGCTCTTAAGGGGTCCTAAATTTGGTTAAACTTCACTTAGCGCTCAGGGGTAAAAGCCACTAGGGTGTGGGAGATGCGCTAAATCCAAACACTCAACAATTTTCCTTTCATTTTCTGTAAGACGATCATGTGATATTGTCTTCAGAAGTATTGCGCCTACATTCAGATAAAAGAGAAATCACTTTTCCTTATTAAAAGTAAATGGAAAGGTGGAAGCCTGAAGCCATGAGTAAGAGTATTCAAGTATCTATGAGAAGCATATCTCCTGTTAAAGCAAGTGATATGTTTCTCAGCCACACTTCCACTACTTTCAAAAACAAGTCTATAACCCCTCTTCATCAGGACCCTAGAATGACAGGACCACGAGAAAAACTTCCTTCTGGGTTACGAATTTAGCAACCACCCTCCTCCCGGAGCCGAGCCTCCAGTCACTGGACAGTTACCACGGCCCTTACTGCTGATTCTCTGGCCTCCACATCTCCCGCCACACGGCTCACACATTTTAATGAAGTATCTGCCCACAAACTATGAGACCCAGAGCTCATTATAAAGCTGAAATGCTACTCCGTTCTTATTCTCAACCAGCTTTTTCTCACTGTTGATCCCTGGAGCCGAATGAGATGACTACTTCCCATCCACACGTGCCGAGTGTATGGAGGTGGGGCCTGCTGATCTATTTCAGCACAGAGACTAAGCAGAACGGAGTTTGTAGAAGTGGAAGTAGAAGCGGAAAATACGTAACTATTTCATTCCCGTTTTCAATAGTCCTCTGGCTATCAGTCTCTCAGACTCTGAGCTATTTTTGGCGACAGATGGTAAGTGTTTACTCAACAAGAACGTTACATGATGCAAAACTTTTGGCAGGGCCCTGCTGAAATACGTCGCTTCGAACCTAAAAAATGTAATTGCTTTGAGGTCGAGAGCGTGTTTCCGGCGTCAGGAAGCGGAGTCCCGGTCGGATCCTCCTGGCAGAGAAGGAAAACAAAGCAAGAAACGCGGCCTCGGGGCTCCCGGCCGATTTCTTAAAGAAGTTGCAGGCGGCGGAGAAACCCCGGGAAGACGCCTAGGGCTGGGAGTCCACACACGCACGCCAAACTGGCGAATGGCGGCGACCGGGTCGCAGCCTTACCGGACTGCGGCAGGTCGTGCAGCGCTGGGGACGTAGCGTCAGTTCTCCTTCCAGCCCAGGAGACGAAGCGGGGAGGACGCGCTCTCCACAGGTGGCCGCCGCGGGCGGCGTCAGCCAGGGAGCCGGCCAAGACCGGGGGGCGCGCCCTTCACGAGGCGACTACGGACGGGCACGTGCTACCTCCCAGGCACTCCGCGGGTCCTCGGCGCAAACCACGCCGCCAGACTGGAACAGAGAAAGCGGATGAGGACGTCCGCAGCCTAGTCAGCCGCAGATTGCTGCGCCGTTACCTTTGCGCGAGATCCAGCCCAGAACAAGAGAGCCCGCCTCCTCTTGCCTGTGAATGGTCTGTAGGAGCCGCACGCCATCCTACTGGCTGTCAGTCTTAACCAATCGATGACGGCTTAGTCCCGAAGCCGTCTGGGAAACGTAGTCCTGGGTACCAGGTCTCCACAGAGACCAGGAGCATCTCTGCGTTGGTCCTGAAGTGCGGCTTAGGGGCTCCTCCATGTTCAAGTCAGAGTGCCTCACTCCACTGGCCTGCACCAGCTCTTGCAGTGTCAGAAGCCCGGAACTTGAAGTCAGAAGACCAGCACTGATGTTTTTTTGCCGATCCTGGGCAACATAACCTCCTACTCTTTAAATACTACTGTAAATAGGAAATGTGAGGCTGGTAGTAATTACTATATTATGGGATCATAAACCTCATTGAGCTCATCGACGCCAAACCCAGTTTAGAATTTAGGCTCCAAACAACCTCTTGGTTATCTGAGACTTCTTTCTCACTGGATTCATCTTCATAGAAAGACGGGTCTGATGGATGTGAACTTAAATATCCAGCTCTTATGCTATACCAGTTACGAAATTGACATTCCAGCTTTATACATTATACATTATTTATACATTTTGGTCGTGTGTGGCAAATCATTAGGTCATTCTTTGTGTCCTGCTAGTCAGGCTCTTGAGAATGTAAATTGAAGTCCAGATCTGGAGCACAGTACTGTTATACCTGGGTCTGTAGGGGACTTTGGCTTTCTGGAGAAGATTGGAGACTTTGCCCCAAGGTGAGCCATGTTACCTCTCTCCTTCAAATTCTTTGAAAATTTCAAAGTTTAGACCCTCCTTTGGCATCACATGATTACCCACATAGCTTGTATTAAACGAGCTGACTTTTTGTTTTGTTTTGTTTTTGTTTTTTGATACAGTGTCTCATGTAGTTTGGGCTGGCCTTAAACACACATGTAGCCCAGGCTGGCCTCAAACTTGTGGCAATCCTTCTGCCTCAACTTCCCAAGTGCTGGGATTACAGGCATGTGCCATCGTGCACAGCAGTGAAATGAATTTTGAGACTGTGGGATGTGGCTCTAATACCGGGTACAAGGTAGTTTCCGAGAATGCAAAAGAGCCAGCTGTGGTGTTGCATGCCTGTAATCCCAGCACTTGGGAGGCAGGAAGATTGCTAGCCTGGGCTACATAGTGAGTTAGAGGCCAGTCTGAACAACATAGTAAGACCTTGTTTGAAAAAAATTACCATTTTCTCTGTGATACCTGATACCTGGGGTTGTCATTTGACTCAATTTGTGCCATCTGGGCTACAAATTCCAAAAGCAACACCACCACCACCCCTTTTTAAGATTTGTATAGAGTCTTGCCAGGTGCCAAAATTGCCCAGGCTGGAGACAAACTTGCAATTCTCCTGCCTGGGCCTCCCAAGTAGTTAGGATGACAAGTGTGTGCCCACGTGTTTTTAGTTATCAGAAACAGTCTGTGTTTTACCTGGCTAATTACTCCCGCACCTGAATGTAGACATTAAAAGCAAAAATGGATTTTAGCTAGTTACAGCATAATATTAATTAGAAATTCAGCTCTTAAAATCTATGTACGTGGGGCCAGGGATTTAACTCAGTGCTTCCACCATCTGCATTTACCCGAGTTCGAGCTCCAGTACAAAAAAAAAAAAACCCAAAGCAAAAAACTATGTGCAATCTCTTATTTAACCTTCACCCTATTAATCAGCCAAGGGTCTGCACCCTATGCAGTAAGTTAGGAGGCAAGTAAGCAAAAATGTATTTCTAGATTCTGAAATGTCAGTATTCAAAAGATAGGTGGAAACCGGCTACTGAATTTACTTATCTATACGTGTTTCTGCAAAAATTTAGAAAAAGCTGGCAACAGTAATGCCACCATGTTACAAGCGCTTTCAAGACATCAGAGTCATTAAGGTCCCTGAAAATGGCTACAAATTTTAATGATGGAAAGCATTTTAATAAGACATTAAAACTTTACTATAACTAGTACTAAAAGCTGGCAAAACTTTCAAATATTAATATTAATTTTATATAATTTTTAAAAGACTATAACAAAAAATCTCAGGCCAAGGATGTCATGCAAGAAATGAATAAAAATTTTGATTCACTTTTCAAAAATAAAGGAGGGGGACATTTGTGCAAGGCTTTTTAAAAAGCTTACTTAGAAAATCCAGCTAAGTGTGGAGGGTTTCACTTTCTTTTTTTGTTTTTTTTTGTTTTTTTAGTACCAGGGATCGAAGTGGGGTCCTTCCTTGCATTTGCAAGGCAGGTCACCGAACTGCTGAGCTAAATCCCTGACCCGTGGGTTTTGCTTTCTTTTTGCTCTGATTTGGTCTTGTGGATTTTTTTTTTTTAAGTTTCGCTTGGTTTTGCCTAAGAATACAAATGTTTTTCTTCTTCTTCTTCTTTTTTTCCGTGCTGGGAATGTAGCTCAGGAGCACAGCACCTGCCTGGCAAGCATGAGGCCCCTGAGTTTGATTCCTGGACCCAGATATTTTTATTTAAAAGATAACAGTATTAACCAGCTTAAAATGTTGAATTACAGCTAAACTTGATATTACTAATACATCTTTTCAAAAATGAGATAGGGCCAAGGATTTGGCTCAGTGGTTCCACTGCCTGCCTTGTAAGCATAAGGGCCTGAGTTCACTCCCTGGTACCACCAAAACAAAAAAGAGAGATATAGGAGAGGAAAGTAATCTGATAAACGTTTTAAAATTTCCTTGAATCTTGGAAATTTACATAATAAACAGAAATCAGAAATAATTTTAAATTGAAAGGAATTAGTTGAGAACAAATTGTTTTCTCATAACTAAAAATGGAAATTAATTAATGGTCCATGTTAAAACACTGAGATATCTAAACAAAGTTAGTATTTTTGCTTTGATTTGCCTTTCAAAGGTAAATTGGAAAATTGAGGTGATTTTTAGAAATTAAGTGAATTAGTATTAGTTTCTGGCCCTGTTTGGAAAGTAAGGTCCAATTAATATCATCAAGGTGAAACCTAGAATTGTTGTATTTGGGATACAATTCAAAGTCATGAAAAGTGTTTTGGTTTACGGTGGGGGCGTGTTTTAAGACGAGGTCTCGCTATGTAGTTCAGGCTGGCCTGGAACTGGAGCCAACCCTCCTGCCTCAGCCTCCCTGAATTCTGGGATTTACAGGTGTGTGTAACCATTCCTGGCTGGCTGGTTTACTGGTAGCTAAGTGTTGAAATTATGATTTATATATTTAACAAATATTATTGGCTCCATGAAATAAATGGTAATCGGATATAACTGTTTATAGATTATTCTAAAGAGTCTCACCATGGCAGAAACCATCCAAAGCTAGTTGCTGTTATTACTTTTTTTTTTTTACTCATAAGAAAGCCAAAAGAAAGAGAAGTTAGACATTTGCCTCAGGCCATGATAACACATGGTAAAACCTGGGCTAAAATCTGGAAAAATGGTTTCTGCATTCACAACTTAATCACTCAGCTTCCTCTGCCCAGAAAAATGGGTGCGTCAGTTGCTTATTATTTTCAACTGATGCTCAGACTCACTGCCTCTATTTAAGGTATGAGTTTACAAAATGTTGCTAATCTTTATATTTAAGCAAATGCCTTTCATAAATATTCCTTATTCACATGTTGATCCTGATTGTCAGTTAGACTGGATTAAGAGACTCCTGAGGCAGGGAAGAAGTGAGGGCCCTAACCTCATCATGGATTATCACATTGATTCTTTCATAGCTACATGGTCCACTGCGGGGTGGGGCCTATGTGGAGGAAGTGGCTCATAGGGGCATGACCTTGGGTACTTTATCTGGTCCTTGGTCCCTTCCTCCAAGCCTCTCCCCCTCCCTCCCTGGATGTCATAAATTGAGCAGTTTTCCTCTGCCATGAACTTCCTGTCTTGGAGCCCACTGACCATAGACTGTTACCTGTGGCAGCCATGAGTCAAATTAAGCCTCTCCTCCTCTAAGTTGTGGTATCAGGCATTTTGTCCCAGGAACAGGAAAGCTGAATAACACAGGATGAAACCCTGGAATTTTAAGTGCCTTATATTTTCAGTAGGAGATGTTTCTACTTAGCTTGTTGTTTAAAAGGACTATCACCAAACCTGAACCCCCAGGGTTAGTAGTCCAAGACCTTCCTATGCTGTGGTAGGACAAATACCACCTATCTAATGCATGCCATTCACTTTGCGTAATTTGTACTTTGTGTTTTTTGCAACCCATCATATATATAAAATGCCTGTATGTGTATATAAGATATTAAATACTTTATTATAAAATAGGTTTTGTGTTGCATGATTTTGCCCAATTGCAGGCTAATACAAATTTTCTGAGCATATTAGACTCAACAGTGTTCAGTACATTAAGTATTTTAAGTGCTTTTTTTTTTTTTTTTTTTTTTTTTTTTTTTTT